TCCCTGTCCAGTCTTCCTCTATTTAATACTTCCAGCACTGAAAGCCAACAATTGACAGTAAAGATTAGATAGATGTCAAAAAAAATATCTGTGAAGTTCGAGGAAACTGAAAAAGAACCTGTAGGAAAAGGATGGAATACAACAAAGGTAATAATTACCACCCTCAGCTGGGACCCACTGTGCTCCAGCTGTCAGCACCTGAGCTCCATGCTTCTTATTTTGGAGCCAAGAAGGACAGGCAGTTACTGCTTCCATGAGACTTCAAAGTGTATGAGAGAGAAATGCCAGAGAACTTACATATCCTACTGCAAAGCACTGCTGGTATGGCAGAAGGATTCTAAGGAAGCAGTCCCAGGAAGAAAGTAGCAATCAGTGACAGTGAAGATCTTACCAATTGAGTATGTTGCAGAATTTTCCAGATGCCTCTGACAGAACAGTAAAGGCGATAACATATGACAGAAAACACGTCATGTTAGGCAATGAAAACAAAGCTGAAGAGGAGAAAACTGGCTCTATGTACAATGAAGCCTTTCTATTGATCCCATGCACTTGTATCACATTCTTTACCATTTGGATTCATACAGCGCTGTATGAAACCTCACCAAGCTTGGTACAAATGCTTTGTGCTCTGGCAGAGTACCAGTATGCCAGCAGGAACCCGGCGGCCTTGCAGAGCAGCAGCTGAACAGGACTAAGACTGGAAGACTCTAATGTGCACCTTCACAGCTGTGAGAGGTTTTGTACAATCAAATTTAATGTAAATAATCTTTCTCCCCTCCCCATGCTGGATAGGTAGAAGTATTTATACGTGTTAATTACGTCAGTGTGAGTAGTGTCATATAGGGAGCCCAAAATACAAGGTTTTCAGTTAGAAATCCCTGCTAGCATTGACAAGTCTTTTCAGACTTTGCTATCAATTATGTACGTACTCCAACAGCACAGGAGATCAATGTTTTTTCATATGGAATCTTCACTTTGTTAATGCTAGAAAAATGCATCCACATAAATAAAACATTCACTTTCACCGTGTGCATATTTTTGATTACCACTCTCAAAGCGAAAAGGACTTAACTGATCCAAATAGGAAGTGTAGGAGTTGGTAATTTTATGGGTTCTCAGCCCTCAACCTCACTCTGAATTAATTATTTCCTCGAGAAAGGAAAATCTATGAGGTTAAACAACTTAGGGGGAAAAAAAAAAAAAAGACGTGTAGCAAGTCGTATTTATCAAAAGCATTTGAAGAGTTTGGTCCCCAGCAGTTTTTTTGTTTGTTTGTTTGTTTTTGTTTGTTTTTTACTGAAGTCACTTCGGAGCATTCCTAATTCCTTTCAACTCCTAAAGGGATGAACTTCCTGCTGCGAGTTGGGATTTACGTGATTAATATGATGATAGTGACATAGCTGAATAAGGTGCTTTAAAGAAAGATGTGTTTACTCTGTATATGTAAGATGTTTTAATTAGATTATGGTTCCTTTAAGGAACTGAGGTATGTGGATACAGTCATTAACTGCCAGAGGCACAGGTGAGTCAGATGACTTCTTCTGTGAAGCATACAAAACATCTGGTCACCTGCATGGGAGGCACAGCAAAGGAACAGCTGTAGCTAAAGCCTTCAAAAATCCCCCTTAGAAATGGCAAAGATGCTAAAATCCTAAATTCAGCTGAGTTGTAATCTTGGCACTAGGAGAAAACATAAATGCAAAGGGCAGGGGGAAGAAATCAACACACCTACCAATAAACTCAACATATTATTCTCTCGCAAGTAATACAGGTCTCACTACATTTGAAAAGGTTATTTCTAGTAAACATAATCAATACAAAAGCTCCCTAAGTTGCTAAGTGGTATTCAATGTGTTCCTAAAAATGGGAAATTGGAACAAAGACAACCAATTACAGTATGCTACTTCAATTTTGTAGTTTGGATATGTGTGATGATCTTGACCCAGCATTTTAAAAACAAAATAGATTTAATGTTTCAAGGCAAACAGAAAATACAAGGGGGAAAATGAAAGGAAAAACAAAACAAAACAAAAATCAGCATGACAACTGCTAATTAGGTTTGTCAGGATGTTTAAAAACAACAAAGAATGAGACCTATTTCTCTTCTCAGGAGCAGAAGAAAGCTATGCTGCTAGGAGAGTTTATGTCCCACGACATGGTTTTAGCAGAGTAAATGCTTAGATGTGAAATATGAGACAATGCTATCCAGACATACATACCACTGGAATAGAAAGAAAATGCACAGTATGTATATAGTACAGAGTTTGTATAAATTATCATCTTCTATAAATCACCTCTGTCCATAGTGGTATGTCTCAGTATAATAGTTTAGGATTGATGTTAGGCTAATAAAGTATCCATCAACAGTAGAAAACCCACCCTTTTTAGTGTCACTGAACACATTATACTCACTCAAACTTAGCATCAACAACTATCATTGATTTTAGTCAGGGAAGTTGGAGACATTGTATGAGCACTACAACACCAAGTCAACACCAAGCTTTTCAATTTAGGATACCCAGAAGGATCAGGCATTGGAAAAAGCCAGAAAAAGAATTATGCTCCATCTAAAGTGTTAAATGTCAGTCACACACATATGGAACAATTCTTCTATCCTCAAATCCTTAAAACAGCCAAAGACAAGAACAGACTCACCTTTCAGATGATAAAGAAACAATAGTTTATACCAAGACATTAAAAAATCTGTATTTTCAAGAATATTGATACAGTGAAATACTCTACAACAAGCACCAAAGGTAGTTACCTTGAGGGTTCTCCAAGACTAAAAAGTGAACTCTTCTAAGAATTTGCGCAACAAGAATGGCAGGCTTTTGCACAAAACATCACTGCACCTATTCACCATGCCAGCCAAGCCTTAGGAAACCACCTAACTGAAGCCCTGTTTGCAAGTTTTTCAAACACACTTATTGTAATACGTTTGATGTGTCAACAGTCAGTACCAGAGGGGTTGGGCGCTGCCCATCAAGCGAGATAAGTAGCATAACCAAAGCTGAAGCAGAGCTAAGAATTCAGTTCTGCCTGTCTCCCTTCATGTTAAATACAAGGCTTAGCATGCTATGCTAGAGAGGAAAAGCCCAAACTGAATAGCAGTTTTGTTTTGCTAACTCTATTTTAATTAACTAAGAATAAACTTCAAGGCAATCTAAGGTTCTAAGAAAGCACATTAACCTTTACACAACAAAGGTTTAACTAAAACAAAGTTTTAAGAAAACTTTTAAGAACAAAATTCCAAATGCCGTCCTATTTACCATCTCACCAGGGACAGAAGAACAGAGGGAACAAGCACCTGGTAGCCTACAGCTGCCCCCCACCTCCCCTCACCTTGTGCACTGCACAACTACTTCATATGCTACAGTAGTAACCCAGGAGAAAAAAATATTTTTACATATTTGGGTACCCTAACAAAATATATATTCCAGATATTTCCTACAGAAAGCACTTCTATCAGTCAAACTGGACATCATCCAGTTGTGGCTCTGGGCAGCCTGGTCTAGCACATAGCAGGGAGGTTGAAACTAGATGATCATTGTGTCCTTTTCAACCCAGGCCATTCCATGATTGTATGATCATCCTGTCCCTCATTTCCCCTTCCTGCATATATTGCTGTTCCCTATAAGCATAGAATCATAGTTCACATTGGAAGGGACCCAATAAAGGTCATCTAGTCCAACTCCCCTGCAGTGAACAGGGACACCAATACCCACATCAGGTTGTTCAGAGTCCCATCCAGCCTGACTATGGGTGTCTCTAGAGACAGGGCATCCACCACCTCTCTGGGCAACTTGCTCCAGTGCCTCACCACACCTACAGTAAAAAACTTTTTCCTTATACCCAGTCTAAATCTCCTCTTTTTCAGTTTGAAACCATTTTTTCTTGTCCTATCCCAACAGAATCTGCCAAAGAGCCTGTCCCCTTCTTTCTTACAGCCCCCCTTTATATATTGAAAGGCTGTGATTCTGACTCCCCAGAGACTTCTCTAATAGCTCAAACCTTTTGGAACAGTTCAGACAGAGGGGATCTGCAAAGACCATCAGCTCCAAAGTGCTCACTTCCATGCACAATCCCAGCTTTCCCCCAACCAATACAAGTACACAGGTAGGAGGCAGAAAACTATTTCTGATTCGAGACTTCAGGACACTTTAAGAACGCAGAAATAAAGGCAGAAGGTGCTGCTTGGCGTATGCTACATGGCAGAACCACATGTGAGCAGGACACAGAGCTAGACTCGCCCTGCAGTCTCAGGAGGCTGCGCCCATAATCAGGCGGTGTCACAGCCCCGTCTCGCTCCAACGCTGCGCATTCTTCACACCTACATGGTGCTGGGTGCGTGCGAAACGCAGTAACTGATCTGGGATCACAGAATCGTTTGAGTTGGAAGGGCCCTTAAAGGCCATCCAGTCCAACGCCCCTGCAAAGAACAGGGACACCTACAGCCAGATCAGGTGCTCACAGTCCCACCCAGCCTGACCTGGGTGTCTGCAGGGCCGGGGCACGCAGCACCGCTCAGGACAGCCCGCTCCAGTCCCTCACCACTCTAATCGCAAAAAACCCCAAACTTCTCAGCACCCAATGAACGGCCGCAGCCCTTGGTGCCGCCCGGCGCTCCCCGACCCTCCAACCGGCCCGGGGGCTCGCTGCCCGGCACGAGGGTTCGGTGCAGCGCCCACCCCGCGGATACTCACTGCTGCCGGCCCCAGCCTCGCCCCGCTCTGCTCAGCGCTGGGGCGGCCCCGCCGAGCGGCACACCTGCGGCAGGTGAGGCGGGCGGGGCTGAGACGGCCCTCCACCGCCTGCCCGCAGCGATCGCCCGCTCGCCCGCCCGCCTCCCAGCGCGCGTATTCGTACCGTGTAGTTTTTTCAGGGTTTCCTTTAAAAAAAAAAAATTGATTTATTTCATATATATTTTTTCCGCCTCGACTGTCTTTTCTCAAAACAGGCAAAACCCGCGGCCGCCTACGGCCGTAAAGCCACGCGGTGCGGCTGCGCGCCAGGCCCGCGTCGCGCGGTCGTGCCCGAGCGAAGATGGCGGCGGGGGAAGCGAAGTCTGTGCTCTTCGTGTGCCTGGGTGAGCGCCGGGCCGGGCCGCGGGGGCAGCAGCAGTGCGGCGAGGCGGCCCGGGGAGCCGGTGGAGTGCGGGGTGCTCCGGGCCTGAGCCGCGTGTCTCACCCGGCCTGGCTCTGCAGCGGTCGCTGAAGCGGGCTGGGAGCCGGGCGGAGGGAGTGGGTGCCGTCCGCTTCTTGCCGCGGCACAACGCTGCCGCTGTGTAGATCGGGGCCATCGGTAGGGAATAACGGGTGAAACGCGGTGTCGGTAAGCGTGAAGTTGATGTGGGGACTGAGAGTGCGCTGAGTCAGCGCAGTGTGAGTGTTCGCAGTGCTGTGAGCAGCTCGGCTAAGAGGAGCAGCCCGGGGGAGGGCGGAAGGCACGTTGTGCGGTGCGGTCCTGGCCGTCATCTGGGGAGCGGCCCACGTGAAGCAGTGAATGCAAAAGGCTTTTAAACTAAATAAATGAATACATGAGAATCATACATGAGCCTCGTGAGAAGATAGGAAAACACAAGTGTGAAGGGATCAGGAAGGGTTTGGTTGCTTTCCCAAAGCTCCCACACAACCAGCTGATAGCTAACCTGACTGCGTGGCCGTGCTCTGTTGGGTGTATTCTCAAAGCTTCTACTCTCTGATGGGATGGCAAGCTGTGTGCCTCACTCATGCGGTTTTAACGTTGTCTGTTTCCTGGTTGTTTTGGTTTAACGTGGAGAGAGGTGATCCCTATTAGTCCTTGATGTTTTGACAGTTTTGTTACAAAACCACTGGTTGATTAAATGTTTTTAAACTGTTTATCTGTTTTAATAAGAGAACATGAGATGAGTTGAATAGCAAAAGAAGAGTATAGTTTTGTGAAATATGTTCTAGTATTTCCCTTATAGTAAAACCAACTGTAATAATAACCTGGGGAAGAAGTTCTTTAGATAAGAAATGATCAGTTGCTGTATGTTTGGGAGTGTGTGGTCTGGACAAACATCTCTGTGTAAAAACATCTAATGTGCATCCTTCTCTCCAAATGGTATGCTGTGGAGGCAATGGTATCCATCACAAAACAATTTATGTGCATGTATGGGTCTTTGCATCCATGATGGTGATTTGCACTGTATCAGGTTCCTAATCTAGCTGCGAAACTGTTTTTAGTGAAAGGTAGTTTAGATGTGGATTGAACTATGATATTGAATTTGAGGGAAGGATGAACAAATCACAAAGGACTGATGTTTCTGACACTAGTATTTTAAAATAAATATCTTTGAATTTCCTCTTCTGTGCTCCCAGGTTATTAAAAAACAAACAAAAAAAAGCCTAATTGTACATGGCATGTGATGTAAGAGCTACTAAACATGAAAAGCACTTCTTTTTTCTGGTCAAGTGTATGTTAAGATTTGAAAGAAATCTGTACCTTCTTCCACTGTAAGTTTGTTTCATATTTTTTAATTGTTCTTGGAAACTGATACTCACATCTTAATAGATTTTTTTCCTCTGACTTTTGATTAGAATAACTATTGTTGGTGCTGAAAAAAGCACTACTAAATAGGTATCTGGAACTGCATTTACCTGTAGTGTTCTTTGCTTTTTAATGAAGCATATTAGTTCAGATATTCTCCCACATTCAGGGAGAACTGATCCCCAAAAGATCGTGCCTTCATGAAGAAACACACTTTCTTTTTGCATTATTGTGAAAGAAGCCTGTTACGGAAGTATCCGTTTACTGTGTTGGGACTTTTTTTGTAATGAGATAAGCAGCTATTCATTACACAAAATATAATCTAGTTAATGTAGATAATTACATTAATCATAGGAGTTCCTTATCACTAAGAAATAAACTGAGCATCCAAGAGCATATTTAATTACAATATATGAAAAGGCACCAGGAAATATTTTTTCATTCATTTAAGGCAAAGAAATGATTTAAATTGGAGTTGAACCAGAAATCACTTTACTGTTTTTACACTTATGCAACGTACCTAATTAATGCCTGAGCTCTAGAAATGAATTTAGAATGATGCTATGTTATGTAAGTAAGCCTCTTTCCTGTCTTGTCCACTGTAACATAAAAGGCTGTATGGACATCTTAGACCAGGAGCTGGCTTACTGATCTCTGTGTGTGGAAGAACAGTTGCTGTATAAACGGTTAAACATAGTGATTTTGGTAGCATTCTCAAGAAGTTATGTTTGCTGAGAGTTACAGAGTGTGAATATTGCCATCAGAGATTGCATAAAATCTAATATAAAATGACAGTGAATGTATTGGCTATGAGAAAACTATGCTATAGTTAGAGTGAGTTGAGCTTTCTGGTTCAGTTTTCACAACCCACAGTATTTGCTTTTAAATGTGGCCAATAGGAAAGCAATAGCTTTGGTAAAACATTGAAGTGACACCAAGACATTTATGACACCAAGTTGGCTGGAAGTGTCGATCTGCCTGGGGGTAGCGAGGCCCTATAGAGGGATCTGGACAGGCTGGAGAGCTGGGCTGAAGCCAATGGGATGAGGTTTAACAAGACCAAATGCCACTTTGGCTACGACAGCCTCCTGCACAGGCTTGGGGTGCAGAGTGGCTGTAACACTGTGTAGAGGAAATGGCCCTTAGGTATCGATTGATGCTCAGCTGAACATGAGCCAGCAGTGTGCCCGGGTGGCCAAGAAGGCCAGTGGCATCCTGACTTGCATCAGGGCAGTGATTGTCCCCCTGTACTCAGCTCTGGTGAGGCCGCACCTCGAGTACTGTGTCCAGTTTTGGGCCCCTCACTGCAAGAAAGACATTGAGGCCCTGGAACGGGTTCAAAGAAGGGCAACAAAGCTGGTGAGGGGTCTGGAGCACAGGCCTTATGAGGAGCAGCTGAGGGAGCTAGGAATGTTCAGCCTGGAGAAGAGGAGGCTCAGGGGAGACCTTATTGCTCTCTATAACTTCCTGAAGGGAAGCTGTAGTGAGCTGAGGGTTGCCCTCTTCTCTTGTGTAGCTGGTGATAGGACTAGAGGGAATGGCTTCAAGCTGCACCAGGGAAGATTTAGGCTGGAAGTTAGGAAATACTACTTTTCTGAAAGAGTGGTCAGGCACTGGAATGGGCTGCCCAGGGAGGTGGTGGAGTCACTGACCCTGGAGGTGTTCAAGGAATGTTCAGACATTCTGTTGAGGGACATGGTTTAGTGAGAACTGTTGGTGATAGGTGGATGGTTGGATTGGATGATCTTGTAGGTCTTTTCCAACCTTGGTGATTGTGTGATTCTGTCACATATTCATCATAAACAGCTGCCAGAACAAGGGTTCTGACAACAACAGGGGCAAGCTGACAACAAGAACTAAAGATATTTTTGGAGAAAAAGAGAATGGGAAGCTTTAAGTTTGCTGAGAAAGGTATAATGACCCTGTAGGTGATAGCTGAGAATAATTAATCTTGCTACAAGGAAAGATGTTTAAAGTGCGAACATTCAGTTAGTTAGCTGATGGCCTGATTACCATGAATCCTGGCAAGTGATATCATTATTGACCTTGATTAAACTGGCTAAACCATTTTTGTCTAGGGACTTTGAGACCTAGCACTCTTATAAACATCTTTCAGGTATCCTAAGCTAAAATTGAGTTCTACTTAGACTTGTTCAATTGTATGCTGGTATTCAACTTCTGACAGAAATCCTACTGTGTTTTGGTAGCAAGGGGAATGTGTGGCAGTCAAGTCATTCAGGCATGTAAGGGATGAGTCCTAAGTGACTGTCCCAAGAGACAGTTGAGCCACAGGGAAGAAACTAATATTAGTCACTTAACGTAAGTGGTATCTCAACCACTTCTGAAGCTGAAGAGAAGAGTCCAGAAATGGTCAAGTCATAGGGAGGGGCCTGGTGTCACTTTGATTTGCCTGGTGTCTTAACCAGTCCTGGAACTGGAGCAAGTAGGGGCTCATAGGATGAACTCTCTCATCCCCAAACAACCCCTTTGACTGATCCGATCCTGGATCCAAGACTGGTGATATCTCTCTCTCTTTCTCTCTTTTGTTTTGAAGTTGTTAATTGAGACAAGGCTTACTTTGTTTTCCCATACAACCACAGAGCTTAGGCAGATGTAGCTGTGAGAAGGCCAGTGTCTGCAAGATAACTGTTCTGTAGAAACCTCCCATTCTACTTGATGTTTATGCATGGACCTTGAGTGCAATTTCACCTTAATCCATCCTGGGCAGATTTACAAATCTTAGTCAGTCTCCCCTCCCCACAGGTGGGACGTGATATATTAATTGGTGTCGCGGACAGGATCCCCTCAGTGTTGAAAGGTATCACTTAGCACAAACACTCTGCCCAGTAGGTGTGAGTGAAGAGAGCTGGGAATTGGCCTCTCATCCACAAGCTGGGAAAGGTACAGGCAGTGGCAAGCTGTGACTGACCAGGAAATGGTGGTGCTTAACTGCTCCCTGTTTTTGAAAAATTTAAGTAATATAATGTTTGCCTCACCTCCGTAGGAATAGCATGGGCTCATATTTATATTCAAGGTCAGGCTGGATGTGGCTGTGGGCAGCCTGGTCTGGTGGTTGGTGACTCTGCATGTAGCAGAGGGATTGAAACTAGATGATCATTGTGGTCCTTTTCAACCCAGGCCATTCTATGGCTTTATGATGTGATTCTGTGATATTATTAGACATGATCCAAATGCTGTGGCAGATAGGATTACAGCACATGTGAAAGAATGAAGAGTGTGACCAGGAAAAGGAAAAGCCATAGTGTATGCTGCGCTGGGAGCAGCATCAGTGAAGGCCTGGAAGGGGACATACCTGATAAAGTGTTAAATCCTTGCAAGAACAAATAAAAACCCAGCAGAGCAAACTGATCGCTGAATGTAATACCACTTAATACCACTCAGCAACTCCCTGTGGCTCTGTCATACACATTGGACAGATTAAATTTTTCAGTCCAAATTAGAGGAAGGGAGATGACAAGGAGCTCCAGGTAGGACAGACCTTGATTCTGTTCCAGATAGTGAACAAAAATTTTCAAGCGTTGATAAATCAGCTGACAAACGGAGGCTGGATTCAAA